CTCAGCGAGGAGACGAAAGGGTCATGGTTAAAAGCACACATTGAAGTTGTGGCAAGACGTTTAAGGCAGAAAAAGCATAGAAGACGAAGCGTGAGATAATTCAGTCAACAAGGTTTTTAGAAAACTAGAGATTGAAAAAGATTTGTATGCATACATGTAGCTCCATTGTTGTGGTTCAAAAGTCAGGTCCCTCAACTTTCTACCGAAGATAACATTTTACATTCAAAAACATGAAATGACACCGGGAATTGTCTCAATACAATCTTTTAACGGCCAAACATGATGCGAAATATCTCTTGCTTAAGATAATCCACAAACAACCACTGCGTACAAAAATGGAACCAGTGCTTCCGCAGTGTAGCCTCTTTCTCTGCTGCGGAAAAATAGTCCAAAGCCCGAGATATACATCAGACACTGCGGCTGCTTCTGCTAATTGATGCTACGCTATCAAGGAAATATTTGCGAAGACGTTGTTTCCAATAGTATTCCAAGCGCTCCATACTAATTGCAGGGACATAAGCGGCATAATGAATTGACGTGAGTTATGGCACAGTGGATTAAACATGAACAGATGCACATGCTACGTACAGTCGGGGTTGATCACAAGGTGTGTAACAGATTTGGAAAGTGGCCAAATGGTTTTGAAACAGCACATGGCACTTTCTTGTTTGGATTTGCATAATGCACCTCGGGTTGGAGACGTGGACAGATTGTAGCGTACAGCATAGAGAGAAAACTAGCTTAGTAAAATAGAAAGGTCCCTAATTGATGGTGATGATGCAGGACACTCGACAATCAGTGACATTTATGGACATTGGTCGTCTGCCTCCTATGGACCATTGGCTCTATGTGTTTTGTATCATTGTAAATTTCACAGGTGTGAGATCAATAAATATCTTGCATTTCTTGAACTGTTTGATTCTCTGTGTTGGCGAATCGACGGCTTCTCCAAGATAACTTCTGATGTATTTTAGGGCTATATTTGTAAAATGCGTGGTTGTAATGAGTTTTCTTGAGGTTCCTTAGGTCTTCCATGTATGATCATATAAGTTACCATCTAGCAAAAAAAAGAAATACTTCAGATTTTTGTTTTTCTTAGCTTTTGACTCATAAATAAACACAGAGCACTGTTTTTTACATCGTTACGAAAAGTGTGTCAAATTTATTTCATGGCCGACTTAAGCCAACCAGCTCGCCCCTGGCATGTTGGATTGTGAATAGGTTCAATTTCATGAGTTGATTGCTTGTCACACTGACCCAAATGTCACAAAATACTTACTGCAAGGAAATGAGGCCAACGCAGCTGCAGACCTCTTCAAAACGCTAAATCTATTCATCTTCTTGTGGAAAATGTCTCAGTGTACACAAGTCTGTCAAGAGTAGCGATAACACAGAAGTTATGTGCTTGAAATGTGTTGTTTTTTGTGCTTTTTTCATGTGTGTATTCTGGGTTTCACACTAAACCAAAGCCGTGACATGACATGAAACGAGCAGATCGCAAATCCACAGAAGGTAGCAGCTGGTCATCGAGGACGCCCTGAGAGTTCCCCAGCGTGAGGAGCGAAGACGTCCCCACTCCCCACTGCAACAGAGGCTCCATGGCTCTGAGGGAGATCCACCACCACCGCAAGTCCACAAGCTGCACAGGGAGGTCGCCCAGGACTCAGCTTCCCGACATCCAGCCAAGGGACATCCAGCTGGCCTGCCACATCCGCGGAGAGAGAGCCTCATTATGCGCTGCTTTAGGAGACCTGTTATCTCTGCTGCTGTCAGCTTTACTCCTGGGTTACATGGTTCGGATTAGATTGTATGTGTCCATTGCTTATTGTCTGTGTCGGATTCTGACTGACAGTCACTTGAAGTTCCCCTCATAGGATAAATAGAGTCTTAGTAATATAAATGACACATAATTCCAACCAAAATTACTTTGTAATTATGCACCACATACTTTACATTCACCAGTGACCAGTTTATTGTTGTAATACAGCTGATTGGTTAGCATTCATGACAATCCCTCCATTCCTCCATTTTGTTCCTCTTGATCCGTTGCCGGGTTGCAGGGGCAGCAGTCTAAGCAGAGACGCCCAGATGCCTCGAGATTCCCCCAAATGAGCAGAAGGAAGACTCCAGCTCGTTCAACGGAATCTTTATCTACAGTATATAACGTTTTTCACAAACCAGAGTCACAAAGCGGTTTACAATTGTGGGCATTTGTCCTCTCACTCCACACAGAGATGGGGGTGGGTCCCGGGCCAGCTGACAGACATAGTCCCTTCGCCTGGTCTCATTCTGGTGGAGCTCCTCCCGTGTGATGGCCATACTATAATCCATCACATAAAAATGATTAAATATACCTCTAGAGTGTATTGCCTTTATATTTAATTATTTCATAATCTATCAATTTTAATAATAGATTTGTTTTGATGCATGCACAGCCTGAATCTCTAATTTCTACTTTTACTCTGCAGTAACGTTCACAACTACGACATTAAAATCTTCCCACAGAGGGATGAATAAAGGTTTGTCGTATCTTATATAAACGGTGAAGACAGTCCATCTATTTTTATTCATTTCATTTTTGTCGTTTTCGAACATGTACCCACTCGATAAAAGGAACAACTTCTGATTGATTCCGTCTCTGAAAGCTGTCATTTTAACAGAAAGTTCCAAAATTACCTTTAATCTTCTTCAACTTCAAAACAAAATTGAATAAGCCACAACAACGGCAGCCTATTTGACAGGAAATGCATGTTTGATTTCCTATAACGCCGTCTTTGAGTCCGTACAAACAGCGCTCTTGACAGACAAAGGTGTTGATTTAGACCACGTTATGGTGGAAGCGTCTGGGGAGTTGGAGGAAAAAAAGGCCTAATTCTGCAGCAATAATCTTGGCGCATGTCATTTCTGCATTTGACGATATCTCTCCGACAAAGAGGGATGGCGCGGGAAATGGCCATCGATCGCCGTGGTGACAGAGGCGGATGGAGTCAAACAATCACCGGCAATTACATTGATTGGACGAGCGTGGGCTGGCGTCTAAACAAAGCCTGAGCAGCGGGAGAGCGAGCCCAGGCGTGCGGCGAGAGCATCCATCGCTCGCCAACGCTCTGCACCGGTAATTTAGTTTGACAAGCTGATGAGAGCGCGCACGCCGTGCATCAGGTTGCCGCACACGCTCACGCCGCGCACGCATCTTGCCGTCTGCTTCCGAGTCGTATCAAAACGGAAAAGTGATTGAGAGGACTTGAGCTGTCAGCGTTAGAGAGAATTGTGGGAAACGTCTCTGTTTTTTTTTTGGCTGTGATGAACTGGGAGCGCTGCGGTGGTCTGTGGTTGTTGACTTTGGAAGAAAACTCAATTTAGGCCGTTTTATTTATGACAAACTTTTATTATTACTATTATATTTATTATTATTACAGGGATTCAGCCAAAACCCTTCCAGTCAGTGAATTCATGTCAATGCTTTTTGTGTTGAAATGTATTTTGTAACTGACTGAAATAAACAACTATTATACAAACCCGTGTATTTTTTTTGTTTTCATATGCATTGGTTTTATAGATTGCCTTTTTGGACTCTCAAAGACGCTTCATTTGTCACCATTCCTTCACTCCATTCACAGTGGTGAGAAACTGATGCTACAGCTGCCCTGGTGTTCACAGCAGTCTCCCATCACAGCACTAACCAGGCCCTGCCCTGCTTAGCATCATAGTTCTGACAGGACCTGGCTTTCAGATGCAGGTGGCGCCTTTTTGAAGTAATGTGTTGATCATAGGGAAAGGTTGGCGTGTCGTTTTGGCTCTGTGCTGGCGCTTCGTCACAGGGAAAACAGCCACGTGTCTGTCAGTGTGCCCCAGGGCAGCTGTGGCTGTGGAGTGCAAGAATAATGACATGTGAAGTGTCTTGGAGTGTCCTGAAAATCTCTGCATAAAAACACTGCATTATTATTATTACTGTGACTATTTATGATTTTTGAAAAGGTGTGTGATTGATTTGATCTTGTTTTAAATAAGCAAAAAAAGTAAAGTTTATTTGTATAGCGTTTAGCGACCCAAAACTATGTCGCTTTTGAAGAGAAGAGTGCGGGTCCAGAGTAATGGATGACGGGAAGCCGCTGGAGGCACGTAATGCGTTTTGTGGATTTAATGGTAGCAGCGCTTCATGATTGTTACAGTGAATACGATACAGGTTTATGAGTAAAACAGGAGACGAAAGAGTATGGTACAAAAGTGTGCGATCAACGAAAAATACGGCTATCCAGCATCTCCCTGTCACTGAGCAGGAAGCGAGTGCCTTTCAAAACTCCCGGCACGACACCAACGTCCACGTGACCCACGCCCCCCCCGACACATTGCCATAGCAACCATACCCACGAACCAATAGGTAATGGCTCCTACATAGCGCCTTTCACAAAAACCAGGATCACAAAACACACTTCACATAAAAACATACAGATAAAATAATACACATAAGTCAGATTTAAAAACAAAAAAACTGAAGGTTCTCATCAGACCAAGACGGTATTTTTTTATTATTTTCAAGATAGAGATTTTATACTTGTAATTTGATGCTAGAGTTAGAGATTTGATTTGTTTTAATTAGTATAGCTATTGTTCAATTATCTTTTGCTGTGTGCTTCTCTTTCCTACGGTTCTTTAACTAGTGACGCAACACCGAAATTTCCGCACTGTGGGACGAATAACGAAAATCTCTTAATTTAAACTGTGCAATACAAATAAACATGCCTCAACAAAACGCGAGGTTGCCAGGCTGGTTAAATGCCAATATGTTTGGACACAGCAGCCCGTATCATTCCGTGTGGAAGGGAGAGACGTTTTTTTAACCGTTAAAATCGTTCGAGCAGCACCACACATTATATATTTGCAGATCTGGGGTAAGTACAATGCCCAGAGACAGCGCACATCTGGAAGAAAGCTGGTCTTTGTCTGCACATCCTGGTATCTGCTCTGTGCACACCTGCTCTCCTGGGACCTCCTGCCAGACCCTTCTGCCCAGGCGCCTCTCCCCCCTGTGCACGGGGGTGAGGAGACCCTGTGCCTCCTGCCCCTGTCTCATTTCGGGCCCGCGCTCTGCAAATCCCTCCATCTGGACGAGGCCGGCAGCTTTGGCAGGTCCCAGCTTCTACACCAGGCCCCGCTCTGTCCGTTTACTCTGGACTCACAGGTTCAGCTGCGGTGCATCAGGGTTAGTCCCACTCTGCGACTGCACCGTGCGGATTCCAGATTTAAGGAGAGAGTCTTTGGACAGAGTGATATATATAAACTTTATTTTTCAATTTTTTGCCACGTGTCTTATCAAGTAATGACACTAATGACACATTAACAATAAAATCATTACAATCCATTTTAAAACAGAGCGATGTGGGTTTGACTGGTCGATGGTTGAATTGAAATGCACATTTTATATTTTCATATAAAACAAAAGATAAGATTGATGAACTTTATTTATGTCACAATGGAGAAATGTAGATGTTATATTTAGCTTCAATAAGATCACTCCGTGTTTCCAAATAGGCAGAATATGTGCAAACAGTTCAAAAGAATATTTAATGTATGTACAATAGAGAAAAATATTCATGTACAATTTCAAAAAGTAACATTGGCATTGCAAAGTTTTTAAGTCTTAGTGCAGGTCGTCAGTGACTTGTTGTACAGTCTGACAGCAGTGGGAGTGAGTGAGAGTGTCTCAGACTTCCACTGAATATTGTACATACTCAACCTGTTTATTCAACAATTGATGATTATTATCATTAATATTAGTATCATTATTGTTATTGTTATTATGAGATTCTAACAATTATTTTATATCAGTTTGGATTTTCTTTCCCTTTTTTGAACAAATTGAGAAGATTCATACTTAGATTGAAACAAAACTGGACCAAAGGAAAAATGTCCAAGTACTTTAAACTGATTTACAGATTGTATTGTTTCTTTGATCAATAATTACCTTTTGGGTTCATAAATTCAATGATTTTCCAGAGATAATGTATTTATTAGTAACATTTCAGGCTGAGAGCAGATCGTTCAAAGACTTCAAACATTGAAAATCTCAAGTATAATCTTTGACAAAAATGTTCCATATTTGGGCCGTGGCTGCAGATATTTCAGTGTCCAAGGCCAGCGACAAACATCTCACAGATCCTATCGTTTGGCTCCGATCGAACCCTTTCTGACTCATCTGTGTCCAGTCCCACAGACTCCAGCTCCAGCCGACACAGACGCACACTGCAGATCAAAGCCTGGGTAATGGTTCTTTGTTTCAGTGATCCATGGTGTCGTGTCCCTGTGCACGACTTAGTAAAGAGCCCCAGTCGTTCTCTAACTTCTTTGTGTTTCGTTCAGTCAAATAAGTTTGGATCTGAAAACCTCCCAACGCCACGGCCTTCGCTTTCCATTCTACAAAGCGCCCGGGACGACAACAGAAAAACAATCTTGAATAAAAAACAAAAACGTTGACCTTTTCCGCGCTTTGCTACCAATTTGTCGAGGCGGGTTCACGAAGCCGGTTGCTCTTTTAAAGGCAACACAATTACCGACAAAAGAGAATCCAAATAGGCAACAACGATAAGCGCCTGCAGCCGTGTGGCGAACGGTTCATCAAGGATCATTACTGCTCGGGCTAAAACATGCGTAAACTTGACCTACGGCTTCCACTAGTTCCACATTTATTTACTCCAAACTAACTAGTTTTTTACTGGACAAGAGGCAAAAAGACAACTGCATTCAAGATAAGATAATAGACTTTATTTAGACATTTGCAGGTCATATTTGCCTTATAGAAAAGGCTGGCACGGTGGCTGAGTGGTTAGCACTCTCGCTTCTCAGCAAGGAGGTCCTGGGTTCGAATCCTGGGCATAAGGGGTCTTTCTGAGTGATGTTTGCATGTTCTCCCTATGTCTGCTACTACTACTACCACTGAAAATATGCACCAAACTGTAGGTAAAATCCTCCCGCTCTGGTCCTGACCAAGCCGACATCTGGACATCAGAATCAGAATCCTTTTTATTGCCATGTGAGTAACAGGAAGTCCCAAACTAGGAAAGTGGCTCCCGGTGCAAATAAGTTAAAGCATAAAAAAAACAAGAAGGCATGCATTCATAAAAATCTACATTCTTTTCTTCAGTTTACTACATAGTAAAGAGCCAAAAAGACGACTGGACCGTTTCACTGTTTGCTATAGAGATTTAAAGTTTCAGAGTTGCTCGACCTGATCATGACACTCAAGAGACAACATTTTCAACAAAATCATATTAAAATGGTCGTCACGGTTCAACACTGCAGCCGCTGTTGACTCTTCTAAGATCACATTGGAACAGAAAACATCTAATCTAATCTAATTCAATCTTGTTTGACTTTTAAAAGAGGTGTTATATAGTGATGCCCCCTTTAAAAGATTATACAAGTATACTGATAATACTATTTGATTCCTGTTTGGTTTTATGGATTTGATTTTTTCCAATTAATTTATTTTTGTCATTGAGGTTTTCCGTTTTTTGTCTTGTGTTTGTGTGTCTTATTTTGTTGTATGTTTTCTAAAATACATAAAATAAAAAATAAATATTTATACAAAAAGATTATGCCAACTATTCAGTCATTAATTCATTCATTTTCGTTCCGTTTATTAAGCCATTGGCCCTCACTCCTGCAGGTGGGGGTCCATGGGAGATGGTTTGCGGCGACACAGCCTTGGTCTTTCAGCAGGGGCTTAAGGCAAAGTGGGGTTAAGTATTTTGCACAGGGAGACCACGACAGCAGACGTCAGTGGGAGCAGAGGAAGCAGGCCTTATGGAGGAATCAAACCTATGATCACCACCTCTGAAGTCATACCTCATAGTAAAAATCATACATAGAATAATGGACGGTTGGAGAATGACCCATCTATGCATTTTTCAGAGTTCTCGCCAAAGAGGAAAAGTGGCTCCAAGACACTTCATAAAAACACAATAATACTCCAACTTCAGATGGTTCTGTGCTTCAATCGACCAAAAAACAACCACACAGACTCCTAACAAGGATTTTAAAATGCAAAAAGACGCCAGAAGCCGATCGATCTTCTATTGCAGAGTCCAAGCAGTCCAAGGGGGAGACCAGTCGCTGCAGAGCTGGTTTGACCCGGGGCAAGCGCAACCATCAGCTAATTGGCTTCGCAGATCAATGCTAAGTAAAAAGTAACCAGCGACTGTGGAGAAGAAGCGACAGGTAAGCCAATACGGTTCCCTGCAGAATGCTGAGGCCAGATTCAGGGCTCTGGGGGGCTGACCTTTTCAGATGTTGATGGAGCTTAAGGGAATGAGGTGTAAATTAAGGCCATAGTTAACAGTTGATTTGAATATTGATTAGATTGTCGATTAATCAATGTGTTGTTTAGATCCCAAAAGGTCAGAGAATATGGGATTTTGTTTCTACCTATAACCAAAACCAAAGCTCAAGAGATGCCCTTGGAGAAAAGTTTCATAGAGTTGACTGTTTCTACTCCATCCACCCATACATTTTTTTCACAATTAGTCAATTTCTGGGTCAGGGTCGGGGGGATAGCAATCTGTGAATTGGGTGGCATCTCTAACTGCCCACCTCCCCCACCGTTACTACTCATACTTAATAAATACATTAATACCTTCTGCAGTTATTCTAGACTCCGGTTCTAACCATGCAATGAACAATGCGTTCATTTTCATTGCCTGAGTCCTTTTCTGGGTCAGGGAGGTGGTAATCAGAGCTGACATCCAATCTCCATAGCACCAGCCCCTCACTGATCCTCCTGCAGGTGGTGGGGGCCTCAGCTAGAGTGGGGTTAAGTGTCTTGCCCAGGGAGTGGGAGCAGATGGAGTAGGTCTTGTGGGGGGATCGAATCTACTGTCGAGAAATGAAGACAGAGGCAGCGGCGATTACGCTCATAATACGGTCTATTTTCAAGCCTCTTCAGAATGAACAAGAGGAGACAAGGCTTTTTATATGTATTTATTATCATTTTTATTTGTATCAATGTGGATGAGAACAGAAGACGTCATCACTTGAGATTTAAATGATATGAGATTTATATACTGTAGTAACAATGTGGGTAAAACAAATACATTCAGGTCTGCAGATAATAATTATTAAGGGCAGATTCCACATCATGACCACCAGGCCTGAATACCTCTCTGCTCTGCCAACTGAGCCAGTGTCACTCCAAAAAAAACGATTAATTAATTATTAAATCAGTTGAAAGCTACCGGTAAATGAGTTACGATTAATTAAAGCCCTGGTGTAAATATGGAAGCTCTATGTGCATGAGATTGAATAATAGATCTGCCTTAACTCCAGTTCAACTTCACACAGGAGCCTCTGCTGTTCTGCCGTCTCCTTTAAACAAAACTAATCTCGTCTTCACTCAGCTTCAGCTCATGCAAAAACCCTCCTCCTCAACACCACGACCATCTCCAGAGCGGGTCGTTCTTCTCTGTGTCATCAGTACATCTCTTCTGCTTTGATCCCCACTGCTGTCGAGGTAATTCATTTTGATTTTTATATTCCCTCTTCCGTGTCATGCAATATTTCTGCTGGAGTCTAAGTGCCTGATCCATCACCAATTTGTCATGTCGCAGAATACGTCACTAAAAGTCAGTCTATACCACAGCACACTATACTTTCTGTGTTCCTAAAGTCTGCAGTAACAAATACACTTCATGCATACATAGCTCAATAAAAATCATTTGAATGTATACTTTTGTTGTTCCAGATGAATTAACTACAACGTGGCCAAACTTACATCTTAAATCCAGATCCTGTCAGACCTCTGAAGCTGTGCAGGGCAGGGCCTGGTTAGTACTGTGATGGGAGACCTCTGGGAACACCAAGAGTGGGGGGGCTATGGCTATAAAGGGCCAGACTGTTGTTGTGTCCTCGGGCAAGACACTTCACCCACGTTGCTTGGAATCAGTTTGGTGTGTCTGTGAATGGCTGGTGGTGGTGGGAAGGACTGATGGCACAGACTGGTTGCCTCACTTCTGTCAGTGGGCCCCATGGCAGCTATGGCTACAGTAGTTTACCACCACCGTGTTTGGAGTGAAAGAATAATGACGCTTGAAGTGTCCAGAAAAGCGCTGTATAAAACCAAATCGCTCTAAAAACATAATTGTTATTATTATTATTCATTAATAATGTTGGCTTCTATCCTGTCCAAGAACCAATTGTAATGACTATGAACCGGGACGTGAGGGCCTAGATATGAAATAAGTAAGAAAATAGGAAAAGTGTTTAGTTGCTTCATAACAAAGAACGCGCAGTGACTTTGCTTGATACGTCTCTCAAACGCAAACCCATTAGCCCTTCGCCTGTTTTGCTAACCCATGAACTTTTCACCCACTCCTCAAACAATAACAATGCAATTACAACCACGATCACAAAGTCAATCCGACCTCAGCCACTAATGCACCAGTTGTTCCACATTCTCATTGAAAAACGTGTGTTTGAAGCAGTGAAGCAGTGAACTCAAGCAAATGTCAGTTTTAATGATTCTCCAAAGACTGATTTTCAGATACACTTTGAGCAATTATAAGACAGGACGCCGTCTGAATTCTCAATGTGTGTGGGTTCGTTTTTTGGGTTCGTTTTTTGGGTCCCTTTTGGCGAAACCTGCAATTTAGTCGTATCCAATGATTTGCTGATATTAGGATAGTGGCATGTTTGATCAGAGTGTGTGTGTGTGTGTCTGTGTGTGTGAGAGAGTGAGACATGGTCATAGGGGCTGTCTACTATGTACATTTGCCCCATAGACCCATCTGTGTCAGATACTGTTCCCAATAGTTCAGAAGTGTGACAGCTCTGTGATAAAGATTAAGGCCATATATGTGTTGAAGGAGCGGCCATCTTCCCGTGGACCCACCACCTGTAGGAGGATCAGCGAGGGACTGGTGCATTGTGGGTGGCAGTTCTGATTACTACCAACCCTGACCCAGAAATTGGTAATAATAAAAGGATGAAAATGAAATGAAATAAAGCAGGTCATGTGCGTTTACCTAAAAAGACATGGATTTCTGAGTGAAAGTACACACTTTCCTTCATTTCCTTCTCCTTCAGACTGAATATATTCAAGTATGTGTTGTTACAAGAGGTAATCATATGTCATTGACTTGAACTGGAGGACTATGTGTTTGTGTGTGTGAGGTTGTGTGTGTGTGTGTGTGTGTGAGGTTGTGTGTGTGTGCTCTTTATCTGCCCTCAACACATGTCCAGCAGACTATTACACAGCGACAGCAGCAGCAGAGCTAATAGAGCACACAGAGCACAGCTGCTTCCACCAGAGCCTCCCACAAACACACTCAAACTCACGGATCAATACAGAATATGGACCTGTTATGATAATAATGATGTCGTGCACTTGTGAAGGGTTTTACGTGCTTGTTGCTTGTTGAAGTCTCTCCAAAAGCTACTCTAGAGTTTGCGTTTAATTCCCATTGCACTCTGAGAGGGTGGGGGAAAACCGGAGCACCTGAAGGAAACCCACCCGGACACAAGAAGAGACACACAGCCTGTACGGAAAGGCTCAACCCATGCAGGATCAAACCCACAGCGTTCAATGCCTTTTAAAACAAAAGTATTGCCTCCGAATGAGTTTTGAGAATGTCTCCAGTCCAATAATGTTGTTCATAAAATGTTCATAAGGTAAGCAGAATTAACTCAAAAAATGTATTTCCATTATGTATGTTTGTCTATACATGTTTTACAAAGAGGAAACATTAAAAAAGGATAAGGATTAATGTCATGTTTCATAAATGTGAAATATATGAAGAACCAAGTATCAAGAGTAAATAATGCCATCGGCCTGCACTACCGCTGTGCCACCACCAGAGGGACGGGTTTAATTCATTTCATTGAAAATTTAGCCATGTGGTTGGCCATGTGGTTCCAAAGACCGTAGTTTCACCTGAGAAATACCACGAATATTTTATGGGCAATACTTTTGTTTTAAAAATCAGAAAACTGCTCTGAGTGTAATTTCATAGTGGTCGATTTTTTTCAGATTTCCATTAATTTGCATCAGAGCCGTCTGGGTGACTGCTCTGGGAGTTCCAGTCGTTTCAAAATTCTGGGAGTCCAAGTGTTAAATTCAAGCAAATTACCCCCTCAAAAATACAGCCAGTGCCTCCACACTGTCCCCAAACCCCCTCCCTCAGCGGCTCTTCTAATTGTCTCTAAGAGCTCTCCTAAAAATCCCCATTTGAGCAGATCCCCGGCGCTATCGCAGGGCATCGCATTTATCTCCTCTCTCCTCGCTCCGAAGACCACACGGGGCTAAATAACAGCGCGCAGAGGAAAAAAACAGGGCTTATAGCGGGTGACAGTGACCAATGGACCCCCAGCACCCGAGGGCCCAAACTCGGATCCCTTTTTCTAATCTCCACCGTGGCGCTTCTTATCAGCCTCCAACGAGCTCAGCCACATCACATCCACACTTTTCAGCCGTTTCCGGGAGAGTATCTGGACCGTCACAAAAAACAGGATTCTTGACTTGCTAAAAGGGAAGTTATCGGTCGGACGATCATGTGGACACTGGATTTAAAAGAATGTGTTGACGTCTCAACGCACTGGGTTTACGTCGTTGTTTTCTGTGTTTTTTGGTTTCTGAGACGAAGATGAAAAGTGTATTCCAAGAAATTGGGTTTGGGTTGAGTTTCAAATAGAGTCAGAAAGAAATAACTGATTAACCCTTTAATGGTTTCCTCAAACATTCAGTAGATCAACTTTTGAGTCAAAATCTAACTGAAGTGAAATCTACCTCCTTGGGGCTTCTCTGTCACTTGATTTTAGGTTGTTTTACGATCAAACTGCATCTCAGCCATTTGGTAAAGGCCTATGATTAAGGACGACTAGTTGAAAAAAAAAACCCCAGTAAAATCTCTTTATTCGTGTTTTTAATGCTTCTACATCCTCAGATAAAATTGCATCTCTTTGTAGCTTGGTTGGCGCTCTCGCTTCTGAGCAGGAAGGTCCCGGGTTTGAATCTTGGTCAAAACAGGGCCTTTCTGAGTAGAGTTTGCATGTTCTCCGTGTGTCCGTGTAGGTCTTTTGGGTGCTCCGGTTTGCCCTACCATTAACAACATGTGTAATGGACAAAATCCTTCGGCTCTGGTTCTGACCGACATTTGGCGATAGGCCCAGTGCGCTGTATTACCACAACACTGCTCCTGACAGAGGCCGAGCAGCACCATTTTATGCCATTACCCTCAGTTGGTAGAGCATTGGCCTTAAGCCCAGAAGGTTGTGGGTTCAATTCCCACCTCTGCACCTTCTCCACCGACTCCCACTGATGACTGCTGACGTTGTGTCCTTGGGCAAGACACTTAACCCCACTTTGCCCAAAGCCCCCACTGAAAGATCAAGGCTATGCTCACACCCAGAGAGCAGCCGTCCTCCTGTGGACTCACCACCTGCAGAGGATCAGTGAGGGGCTGGTGCTATGAGACCTGGGTGGTATCTCTGACTGCCACCCCCCTGACCCAGAAATGGATTAAAGGGTAGAAAATGGATGGATGGATGGGTTTGTCCAACAGAAAACGTCTTGTGAAACATGTTGTCTGCTGCATTCTTTGCCCTGTGAATCACTATTTGACACTTTGGGCTGAGTGCTGCCACTCCCCCCTGGACTGCCACCTTAACGTGGTGGGGGAGTTTGAGTACTTGGGTGATCCTGGGAGCTATGCTGTCTGGGGCTTCATGCCCCTGGTAGGGTCTCCCATGGCAGACAGGTCTCAGGTGACGAGTCAGACGAAGAGCGGTCCAAAAACCACCATGGACAGTACTAAAATGAGACCAGTGACGTCGCCCGGCATGGCGCAGCCGGGGCCCCACCCTGGAGCCAGGCCTGGGGTCGGGGTTCGTATGCGAGCGCCTGGTGGCCGGGCCTTAGCCCACGGGGCCCGGCCGGGCTCAGCCCGAAGGGGCGACGTGGGCAGTCCCTCCTGTGGGCCCACCACTTGCAGAGGGGTCCGTGGTGGCGCGGTGCTAAGAGGACTGGGCAGCAGTCGAAGGCGGAGACCTCGGCGACCCAGTCCACACACACAACATCTGGCTCTTGGGACGTGGAATGTCACCTCACTGGGGGGGAAGGAGCCCGAGCTCGTGGGGGAGGTCGAGCGATACCGACTAGAGATAGTCGGCCTCACCCCCACACACAGCTTGGGCTCTGGAACCCAACACCTTGAGAGGGGTTGGACGCTCCACTTTTCTGGTGTTTCTCGTGGGGAGAGGCGGCGAGCTGGGGTGGCCATACTAATTGCCCCCCATCTCGGGCGTCACCAAGGTGGTTGGCAGCCTCCATGGTGGCAAGGCGCCGGGAGTGGATGAGATCCGCCCTGACTATCTAAAGTCTCTGGATGTTGTGGGACTGTCTTGGCTGACACGTCTCTGCAACATCGCGTGGCGATCAGGGGCGGTGCCAATGGAGTGGCAGACCGGGGTGGTGGTCCCTCTCTACAAGAAGGGGGACCGGAGGGTGTGTTCCAATTATCGTGGGATCACACTCCTCAGCCTCCCCGGTAAGGTTTACTCCAAGGTACTGGAGAGGAGGCTACGGCCGATGGTCGAATCTCGCATTCAGGAGGAGCAGTGTGGTTTTCGTCCCGGCCGCGGAACACTGGACCAGCTCTATACTCTCCATCGGATACTCAAGGGTTCATGGGAGTTCTCCCAACCTGTCCACATGTGCTTTGTGGATTTGGAGAAGGCGTTCGACTGTTCCCCGGGGTGTTCTTTGGGGGGTTCTCCGGGAGTACGGGGTCCTCTGCTGAGGGCCGTTCGGTCCCTGTATGACCGGAGCCAGAGCTGTGTTCGCATTGCCGGCAGTAAGTCAGACCTGTTCCCGGTGCATGTTGGCCTCCGCCAGGGCTGCCCTTTGTCACCGGTTCTGTTCACTGTATTCATGGACAGAATTTCTAGGCGCAGCCAGGGGCCGGAGGGGGTCCGGTTCGGGGACCACAGGATTTCATCTCTGCTGTTTGCGGACGATGTTGTCCTGTTGGCTCCAACAAACCAGGACCTACAACATGCACTGGGGCTGTTTGCAGCCGAGTGTGAAGCGGCTGGGATGAGAATCAGCACCTCCAAATCCGAGGCCATGGTGCTCGACCGGAAAAAGGTGCCTTGCCCTCTACAGGTGGGTGGAGAGGTCCTTCCACAAGTGGAGGAGTTCAAGTATCTCGGGGTCTTGTTCACGAGTGAGGGAAGGATGAAGCGTGAGATTGACAGGCGGATCGGTGCAGCGTGCGCAGTGATGCGGTCTCTGTATCGGACCGTTGTGGTAAAGAGGGAGCTGAGCCGAAAGGCAGAGCTCTCGATTTACCGGTCAATCTTCGTTCCCTCCCTCACCTATGGTCATGAGCTTTGGGTAGTGACCGAAAGAATGAGATCGCGGATACAAGCGGTCGAAATGAGCTTCCTCCGCAGAGTGGCTGGGCGCTCCCTTAGAGATAGGGTGAGGAGCTCGGTCACACGGGAGGAGCTCGGAGTAGAGCCGCTGCTACTCCACGTCGAGAGGCACCAGTTGAGGTGGCTCGGGCATCTGTTGCGGATGCCTCCTGGACGCCTCCCTGGGGAGGTGTTCCGGGCACGTCCCACTGGGAGGAGGCCCCGGGGAAGACCTAGGACACGCTGGAGGGACTATGTCTCTCAGCTGGCCTGGGAACGCCTTGGGGTCCCCCCGGACGAGCTGGAGGAAGTGTGTGTGGATAGGGAAGTCTGGGCGTCTCTGCTTAGACTGCTGCCCCCGCGACCCGGCAAAGGATGAAGCGGAGGAAAACGGACGGACGGACGGGCTGAGTGCTCATTTGCTAAAGATGGTTCTCTCTTTTTCACTTTTCTCAGCCACAAACACATGCAGGTGAAAACTAAAACCAAACTGTTTGAAGAGCGAGGAACTAGGGAGATGGCTGGTACAGCAAAGAGGCAAACAAATGTACACTTTTAAGGTCACATACGCACAACATTTACTTTTAAAATCTTATAACCAGCACCCTCTGGATTCAAGAGGACATTACTCCGACCACCCCCATGTTAACAATCACCACAATTTAGTTTATTTTCTTGAATTTGTGTGTGTTTAGTGGGCAGCTTTACAGGCATTTCTTGCATTTTGCCGACTGCCGCGTTCCATCAATTCACAAAACTCAGCAAAACCTCCTGAAGCACTGGTCAAAACAAGATGATCAATAAAAACGTTTTAATCCCAGTCATAAAAATATACCACTACACGCTGTAAGGACTTCTTGCCTTATGCGTCTGACTTGAGTGGAAACGAGTGCTCATGAAACACAAAATGTCTTCCACTAAATCCTTTTTCCAAATCAGTCCCGGCTGCAATTTGCAAAAAAAAAACGCTGCGTGAAGCCAACTCCTGAAATAATAACAAAAATAGTATTACCTTCGGATCGTCTCCGGGCCGAACAGCTCATAAACTATTTAGGATTCTGTACAGCGCAGCATTTAGGGAGCGGCTGCGGGCGCCTCTCGCTTCACCCATTGCGGTTTAATTCAGGCGCAGGAACAAAAGCACAAGTGTAGGTTTTTCACCGATAAGCCTCAAGATTTTTAGACATTTTTGTTACAATTCACGGCATCCAAGCAAATCTCAAACACAGGTCTGCGATTTTTGCACAAAGATGAGTTTTACGTGACAAATGAAAACCTTGACCACGTTTTTTCTTTTCTTTTTAGTACAGAAAAGTAGAGGTGGTGTTTTTGTCCCAACGGTCGACATAATTGGAGAAGAAATGGTCTTCGGATGCAAATCATTCCGAGGCCAATGGAGGGTCGTGTTCCTGACAAAGCAACGTTCTGAAATAGTTTAAATCATTTGCAAGTGATTGACTAAAACGTCTCGAAGGCAAATTGCAAAGTTCAAAATGTGTTGGAAATATAAAACGTTTATTTTGGAGTGTGAAAGTTGCATCTGACAGATCTCTGAGGTCTGTGGAGTTGAGGATTGAGTGTTATTCTCCCGCTGCTTCCAGGTAAATGTAATTAGTTTAGTGACTGATGAGAGCCGAGGGTTTTAAACTGTTACGCGTTTCGTATTTAATATTTATCGGTGGTAATAGTTTAGAGTTCCATCAGCAAAGTGCCTTCATTGTTGTTGAGAAGCAAAGGTCTTTAGGAGTGAAACAGGACTGCAATTTACGACTAAGAGATCCTTTAATCGTCAATATATGGGGAATTTCCAGTGTTGCATCACGAGTTAAAGAACAGTAGGAAGGAGACAACAGCACAAGAAAAAAATCTCTATCTTTAGCTAAATTGCTTGTTCTGAACATTGTAGAGCGCTTATCAGACATGTCCAAACTGAGGCCCGTGGGCTAATTGCGGCCCTCTGAGTCATGTTATGCGGACACCTAGCTCAACCTAAGAAGCCATTGAGATCACAAACACAAGTTCACAGAGTCATCCAGCCAACTTCAGCTGCTGCACTATAGCGTGTACCTTGAGGAGCTCAGAACCGGTAGAATCCATGTTTATTA